AATTATAAAAAAATGAGAGCGACTATTATGGGATATTGATTGAAATTCTATAATTTAAGTATCCCGAACTACCAATCAAGAGAACATTAATGTTCAAATACGATTGGTTTAATCCTACATCGATTAGAACGAGGGTTCATCTATAATGTAGACTAATAGAGGTAAACTGTAGAAGGAGTTTCAACATATACAAACTATTTGTTCTATCAGCACAAGTGGCTTAAGTGTATTATGTTACGTATCCTAGTATGAAGCACAACTATTAGGATTGGTGGACTGTTTGTAAGATAAAAGCTAGGGTTATGGTTTATTTTCCAAGATTGTTTATCGAGTCCAACAAAATACAAAACCATTACGGGAGGGAGATTAAAAAATCTAACATAATTTGATCTAGGAAGATGGTGAGCATTGGTCATTGAATGATCTAAATGGATCGTTTATAGATATAAAAGTAATTGAAGTCAATGAAGAATATGAGAATGACTATGTATCGAATAGACCACGAAAGAGAAAAACTTAGAAGATGATTATAATATTTGTAATTAAAGATTAATTTTATTTACCGTATTTATTAAATTTTATTATTTTATTTATTATGAATTTTTTAGATGTTTGTTGTGCATTTTGAATGTGTTAAATTTTATACGGGTGATGTTTTCGGTGATAAGAAAATATTTAATTTACAGAGAAGACTATACCGAGTTTTTGTCTTTTATAAAAATAATTTATAATATATTTTCAATCGAATTATTATTCATTTGTTATATTTGGTAAACTATTTTAGGAGTCATTCTAGAGTTATACCTTATGAATTGGATATATCTTATTATAGTTATAGTAGTTATGGCTTTAATTACGATAATGTTTGTGGTCGTGGTGCCGATATTGACGAGTGTTCGTAATCGTGCCAATGATAGTGGCACCGTAAGTGGCCGTGACACTACTATTATTGGTATTTGAGGTCGTGGACTTGATAGCACTTCGCATCCCCGTTAGTAATGCTCCATGAGCTAGTGCCATCGCTAATAGTGCCCCCAATTGCGGAGGTTCCCTTGATGTTTTCCTCAACTCTAGAAAGCTTTATAGTACCTAATATTGGACAAACTATTCGAGTCGTTAATAACTAGTAAGTAATATGATTTACATATAGCGAGTTAGTTTTATATTTCCATACATTATATTAGAATAATTAATTTATTATTTATTATTTATTATTTATTTGTTTTGTTCAATAGTTTGGTTCCATCAAGTGCTCCATAAATATCACCGCAATTTTCAAAGAACGATTAGACCTTGCTTGTTTTCACATGGAAGTTCGCCTCCATGAAGACGAAAAAATTTTACTTTAATGAGTTTAGGATAAAATATTCATTATTTATTTATATTTTATTTAAAGTATTAATTTAATATGAAATTTACTAATATTATTTTTTTTATGTAGAAATGCTTTTATGGAATGCGACCATCGACGCACTAATTAAATATGTGTGAGAAAGTCTAATATAATGACATATTGAACAAGCTAAATCAAAAGACTAATAAACCCAAGTTTATTACACAATAGGTATGGGATGCATGACATCGGGATTAGGGCATACTTGAGTTTCGGGTTCGATCATAGCGGGGGTTCCGAAACTACATGTCGGAGACCGATGGTGTCGGTGCGAGGCTTATCTAGGCATAAAGAGGGTCAATCTTTTTGATCGAGCATGATAAACATTTGGTAAATACTATTATCCATTATATTATAAATTAATTTTTGTATTTATTGTATCTCATATTATTTTAATTATTTTTTTAGCATAATAAATTGGGTCGTAACCCAAATTCTTACAAGGTGTTCCTAAATACTCACAAACGGAAAGATGGGTCATTCATTGACATGCGGTCCCAGTACAATAATGATAAATTTTTTATTTTTATAAATATACATTTATTAATATAATCTAAAAAATATATTTATGATTTAATCTTACAATTATTTCAATGACGTAGGAGCTTATACGGTTATTACAAGAAAAAGTTGTTAAGAAGCGACAGAAGGTGATTCATCATCTCCAAATATCAAAATTTCAAACATCAATATGATCAAGATATATTTCGATATTTTACGAGGGGAGTAAAAGCGAGAGAGTGTATGGTCTCGGATCACAAACATTCTAGTATAACTCCCATTCTAGCACCAATTCCTCCTCTACCACTTCGCGATATCCTAGTGGTAGTATTTAGGAGGTTACTACCCAATACGAAGATAAGATCAAAAGGATGGAGGTTATTATACAACAAGAGGAAGGTAAATTCAACACTATACGATCAAGTAGAGATAATGATGAGGTTATTACGGGACTGCAGGTAGACTCACATCCCTCTTATTATCCCCCTACAACTTAGGAGTCCTTGTATTTTCAATAGCCAATAGACAAAAGATGATGTAGGAGATGATGTTGATGATGATGAGGACTAGATATATATATTTTTTAAGGTTTTTAATGTTTTTATACACATCAATGCATTTATATATTTATTTGATTTCAATTTGTATCATTTTAATTTTATTAAATAATATATTATATTTTAATAAGGTGTTATTTTTAGTTATTTGTTACTACCATTAACATTAAATGACTATTAATTTATATATATATAATTTTCTTCTTTTAGTGATGGATTAGCGACTAAATTAATGATAAAAATTAAACATTTTTATGATAGACACATATACGGTCGCTAAATAGCGATGGATATAGCAATGGATTTATGAGGAATTTTAGTGATTATGATTTAGCGACATATGTTCCATCACTAGTTAGCAATGGAAATAAATAGGGATGTTCACTATTCGATGGAAACCGAATAACCAAATCGAATCGCACTAAAATATTAATTTCGATGCATTTTTTTTAAAAAATAAAGAAACAAACCCAAATAATTTTAATTTTCGGGTATAGTTTTTTTTTAAAAAAAATTGGTTAAACCAAAAAATCAAATTTTATATATCTTTTTTTTAAGTTAGATTACTCACTGCATCCATTATTCTCAAATTGAAAAACCCGTCTCCCTCAAACACAATCCCTAAACCTCTCTAGTCCTCCCTCCACTCCAAGCTCCAACCCTCTTTTTGCAAATGCAAGTGTGCAACTATGGCCCTCTCTCACTTACCCACCTTTTTCCTCCTCCTTAGGTGGCTCTCAACCGTCGACCATCTCTCTACTCTTCATACCCGACAATCTCTCAAAGATTTTAAGACACATCCATTAGACCCTTCTCTTTCGGTCTTTTGCTCTTCTCCCACTCTCAAGCTTTCAAGACTTCCAGTTTATAGTGAGTCATGCTTACCCAAATAATCGGAGTTAATCTTTATTCTTTGGTCATTTAATTTATATGATTTGGATTGATAGATGTCATGTTTATATTGCTAGGCATGTTAATGTTATGAATTAGAGACCTCTATATCACTACTCGATGCATGCACCGATGCGCTTATTCTCGGAACTTCGTACATGCTCTTTTTGTCTCTAATACAAGTTTGGATATACACATAATAGCAAAGGCATTGGTAGATTTCTTATCGTCTCAAATTCAAGGCTTCTAGAGTGGATAATTTATTATTTGTTTATCTATAAATGATTTTGCTATTTTTTAGGCGTAACTTAGTTTCCTAGTTAGTAATCTACAAAGTAGAAAAGAAACTCACTCTAAACAAAGATTTCGAGAAAATTTAATAGAATAAGCCATTTGTAGAAAAAAATAAAATAAAACGGGTAAAAATCAAATTACCGAACACCGAAACTAAAATATTTTGAAACCAAACGAAAAAAAAGAAATAACATTTCGAGTTTGATTTCGATTATTTTTTTAAAAAATTTTGATTAACCAAAAATCATCCGAAATATTTTGAAATCGAAGTGAATAACTGAACGAACACCCCTAGCAATAAAGGAATATCAACAGTTTTACAATAAATACTAGATTTGAAAAACAACTGTTGATTTCGATTTAGTGATGGAAAAAAAATTTTGTCGCTAGAAAAATAGAAAATGAATTTATCATAAATTCGTTACTAAGGATAAATAGTGACGGATATTGATGATTTAATGACAAAAAATTTTGTCATTATTTTTCGATTTTCTTGTAGTGCTATGGACCTACAAAACATTTGTATGATGTTTGGTTTGATTATGTCCCCCATTTTAATCTAATAAGAGCTAATTCGTCATTTAATTTGAGATTTTTTAAAAGAAAAATAGCATGAATAACTCGGAATCACTACCATTAACATTTGTCGTAAGCCGGGGTAGCTTAATTAGCGTAATGCTACTTCGTTATTGGATGATCTAGCTAGCTGGGGAGCTGATTCTAGCTACGGATCATTTTTTATTCAAAACATAGGTTATAATTAAGCTTTTCTTTTGCGACTCTAAGGGCCGGGGGCCAGCTAAGAAAGCTAAAAAATTGAAATTACACGAAATGGAGTGCATTAACGTAATGGTAATTTGTCAATGAATTTCTTAGGAATTTCACATTAGTAATTACATGAACAAGGCTTATCCAAATAGAAGAGAAGTATCACGTGTTGTTTAATTACAAGCATTTTAACCTGCGCTCCAGACATCTATCATTCAATTTTAAATCATTCACAATTGTATTCTAGTTCACTCCCATAACAATATTTCACTGTCTTTTTCTCTAACTACGATTCATGGTTCATGCATCATAATGAATCTGTACATGAACTTCAATGGTTCATGCCAAAATGTTAAGCCATCACGAATGTTTCCATTGGAAGTTAAGCCCTCGGTAAGCAAGATTCAACATACGGTCGAAGGACATTGAAAGAAAAGAAAAATGTCATGAGATCTATACATGTCAAACCTTCGCAGGCTCCTGGATTTCCCAACATGAACACATGCGGATATCAGATTGGACCAAAGGGCACGTCATGTGGCAAGAGGTGGTGTCCGAGAAGGGAATGTTTTGAGGGATTGACTGGCTAATTTGATTTAATTTCTCTGAAGCCACACATAAATAATGTCCATATCTTCTTGGCTTTGCTGCTCCCAACGCTCAAGCTTGCATGTGCTAGTGTCGCTTAAGAAGGAAAACACACATGGAACACTTACAGGTGAATTGAGGGAATTCGATGGTTTTGGTCGCATTTCGGCCTCCTGATCCTCATGCGAAGGCCTAGCAATCCAAAGGACAAGCTTATCAAATGGGGTCTGCCTCTCAGTCAAACAACAAAAAGATGGACCATTGGCCCCATATATTTATACCTTCTTCTGATCTATATCCCCTTTGTTGCTCATATCCATATCGTAAATTAATCATGCCGTGGTTTTAAACATATGTAAAAAAAATATGTTAATTTTTTATTTTTTGAACTTGTGGAGGGGTAATTCTCACTGTTTAAATTTTGATAAGCAATTTCGTTGGTCCGCTCTGATTCCAAATTAGAGTATTGGAAACATTTAAATTAAACTAAGTTATTTCTACTCTTTAAATTAAAGCAACGCAATTGATTTGAAGATATATCGAACGATAAAAATAATAAAGTAGTGTTATTGATGAATTGATATGTATTTAATGCCAACAAGATGGCTATTTATTTATACTATATATTGTAAAACTTTATTTTTACTTAATGATACACTGTCTAATCTTCAAACATTAAGAACTATACGAAAGGTAAGATTTAGACTACCTTGACACTGAAATTTTATATTATTCCACAACAAGTGAAGTTTAGACCATCTTGACAAGAGAGTTTAAAAGTGTAAATAAGTGCATTCTCTTTGAAAGCTAATAATGGAACTCCAACTCCTAAACAGTAGAATAAGCAGATCTCTCTGATAAATTTTATAATATTTTAAAAATAATTAATGTATATATATATATAATAATTATTTTATAAGCTTATTTTTCAGCAGAGATAGATACATAGAAAAGGAAAAATCACATTTGAACCTATCAAAACTAATAATATTTTTTTACATTTTCTCAATTTTTTTTAAATTTTTTTCTATTAATTTCTTTTTCATTTTTTGCATCTATCTCTCTCTATAAATTAACTTACACTAATTACTTTTTTAGTATTATAAAATTTTTTGATCACTCTTAAATTTCTTTATCCACCTTTGTGGTCATAGAAACTACAATGTAAAACACTTCAATTGCAGTGTACTATGGCTGCATATCTAGGTAATTAGGAGTGAACAATTTATAGTCTTCCGGAAGTTAATTTTGAGCTTGTTTTATAAGTTCTTATATATCATCTTCCGTACCTTCTTGACAATTAAGCAGGCATAAAGTTGGATCTGCAACATCTAAAGCAAGATGTTCCTCCAAAAGTTAATGAAACTGTTTCTTCTTTTAACCATGCGAAAGTAGATGTAAATCATTCCAAGGCATAGGTGAACTGTTTCACTGGACTTATACTGCAGAAAAAAACAATTGACTAATTGATTTCACAGTCTTAATTATTCTCGGTCCAATGGAAACTAATTATTGCAATGCAGCCCATTTAGGTGATAGATGGATTCAAATCAGCTAGCTACCTAGCTAGTTGGGTACAAAAGGAAATCTCTCCGAATTTGCTTTATTGTTTCACTCGCTAGCCCTACCTTGTCTTTTCTTTAGACAACTTGATGTAATTGCAAGATTTTTTGACAAAGATATATCAAGATTAATTTTTTATGTTTCTTATGCTAAAAAAATTTCAAAACTAGATGCCCGAGGCCAAGTAGAAACTCGTTGGCATCTAACAAAGATTGCCGCAAATTTGATAACAACAGCACAGGCCAAAAAATGACAAACCGTTTGCCATTGACAACAAGAGAGTCACATGGATTCTAGCCCGTATATTTTGTGTCTCCATCCTCCCTTATTCCTCCTTCAAATTAGGGAAAGCAAATTATTGCGATGAAGTGCTTATGCTCTTTTCATGCTCAAATTATCATTATTGCATTTTTTTTAAACTTAATTCACGGGGCATCTTTATTCTCTTGCACCTACTTAGTTAGCCTTTCTCTCTTATCTCCTCCATTGAAAAAGCTCGAATGCCGTAGTTGTCTCATGGTAACGTTGCAGCTTATTGCCAGATATAATTAATATTGGATGGATAGGTTGTTGACTATATATTTTACAAACGGCAAGTCCCCTTCTAAACCTACCCTATTATCACCTTGATCATCCTTACTTGCATATTACATTTTATTAATTAGTACTGTTGAGCTTATATAACAAGTACGTACACATGCTAATTGTTCTCTTCTTGGTTTAATAATAGCTGTCTATTGGTAATTAGTTTCTTGCATGTGTAATAGATTCAAACCCTCCATTCGAAATATTTGAATTTAAAATATATATATTTTTTAAAAAATAATATATCTTTTTATTTTTGTAATGATGGCTAATTTAACTCGTATGATCAATAGTAACACAATTTCATATCTCACTAACTCATTGCGGATTGTATGAATCCTATCTATAGCTAGAAAAACCGAAAAAGAAAAAGAAAGAAGTACACATAGAAGTAATGGTAGTAAATGGAAGGGATTCGGCAGTTGTGATTAATTATTATTGATGTGGATGTTGGACCCCATTTGGGTCTCTGCTATGTGTATTGTACAGGCTCTTCCAGCTGAAGAGAAGTTTTGTAAAGGGTGAAAAGATTGGTTGGGAATGCTAAATACTACTAATAATATACTAATTTTACTTCGGCAATCAAATGAAACTTCGGAGGCAAAGCATCTTCTTGCAATCTAACACTCACCCCAGCTCCAATAATGTTCCTGCTTTACTAGAAACTCCTTTAGTTTCGAGTCATGGAATATCAAGATTCCTCACCTTCACGTGCGTAATATTTCCTCCCGTGTCTCTGTCACATGCTCTACATTAAGCTCTTCTTTTCTTGATTAGCCACTTAGATATAATAATAATTATTTCTCTCTCCCTTTTTAGTCTTAAATGCCACATAGTTTGAGTCGTTCATGAGTATCTTTGAATGAATTCTAATTTTCACTTGATTACACAAATGCTCTCCCGATGAAGTTAGTCCTAAATGGACATTTCAACGGTTAAAAATTTGGCATCTTCCCTTCGGATCTCAAGATATATATATATATATATTTTTTTTGCCTCCTTTAAACAGGTGGATGAACATTAGTAATTGAGATTTTTTTTTAATTTACTATCATCATGATATGATATTAATCTGACCATCGTAATAAAAATAAAAGACTAATTCTAATCAGCTTTTATTAAAAGCATAAACAAATTTAATTTCTAACATTTAGTAAAAGAAATAATGATGATACCATTACATGTCAATGTGGTTGTCCTCATGAAACTAGATAGAATTCTAAAATAGAGGTAAAATTCAAATTTAGATCTTCATGCGTTTCTTTAGATTATATTTTAAATCTAACTATTAATGTTGAATTTAATGATTTGAATTAGATGGAAGAAACAAAATAATAATGAATTAAATTTTTATAGAATATTAAATCTCATTCATCTAATTCGAAATAGATTGTTACTTCACGTTCATCTAATTTTGATTTAATGAACATAAATGTTTTTTTGAAAAAAGGAAAAGAAAGAGGATCCGAATTTGTAAAACTCGAACCTAACTTGTGTTTGTGTTTTGAGAAAACAATTGTTATTGGCTTAGCTACGTGCATCTACTTGGACAAAATGGATCGCGTGTTGGACTCAAACAATGGTTCTAAAGTCTTTGTATAGATGCATGCATGAATTTAATTAAATATTATTGTCATACGATAGAGGACTGGCCAGATTACTCTCTTGCGAGGGAAGAAAACAAATGATTTAAGGGGAAATTTTGTCAACGTGTCATCGTATAAAATTACAGGTCTTTCCACTTATTGTCTTGTATGGAAAAAAAAAAATCCATAAACATAACCTTTGCTTTCTCTAAATTCTCTAAAATGCCAATATGTCTATTTTTTAAATCACAACCCTTTTCCATTGAGAATATTTAATTGAGATATTTAAGTACTTTCAAAAAAATATTTAATTTAATTTCTATAATTAAGTTATCATATGGAATAGATGTGCCGGTTTATTTTGACATAAAAAATTTATGGATGGATTATGCTAAGAATTGAATAAATTAAATGTTGTAATTAATTGATTTTTCATACAAGGGTATAATGGAAAAAACTTATCTTATATAAGGGTATATCCGATAGTTTCTTTTTTTTTTTAAACATAAGTGATTTATGAGATAAACAAAGCCATTAAATGAGTTGGCTAAGTAGCTTGCAACTAAATTAAAGTGCCAGCAACTACAATGTATTTGATTCACTGTTGTGGTGAAAGTGAAAATGAAGTAGGCCCTTTATTATTATTATTATTATTATTATTATTGGTTGTTTATTACTCATTTTGTTTTTAAAAAATTATCTCATATTCTATTTATATCTATTTCAAAATAATTGTTTGATCAAAATTTTTAATACATTTTTTAAATATCTTATTTTATAATACATGATTAAATTAAACAGATTTTTTTTTAAACAGAAAAAAGAGTATTTTAGAAAAATATTGTTAAAAAATAAAACATTGATTTTCACATCGGAAACAATTGAGGTAAAATTATTTATTTGAAAAACCTTTGATAGACTCATTTTGGGTACACTACCAAGGCAATTGAAGGTTATATTTCATATGATTTTTATAAATTGATTTAATTTTTTTTTTAAGTTTTTCATAAAAAAAAAAGACATAAGTAAATTTGATTAGAATAATTTATGACTTAAATTAAAAATTTATTACAAATTCAAGTCAAATATTTTTAACTAATATATTCTGATTTATACTACATTCATTCTCTCTCTCTCTATGTATATATATATAAACGTACTTAAAGTCATTTAAACTCATTTTTGCTACTATTATAAGTTATTTATGAAAAATAATTTTTGAATCCTGAATAAATTTAAAGTCAAGAATTATTTTTTCATAAATCATGTGAAATGTACTCTTAAGGAATCAGTGACGTAGATCTCGTTTTAGTAATTTGTGACCATACTGAGCTTAGATCAGAACACACGAACCCGCTCACCTTGCTTCTTGTATTAAATCCCTTTGCTGGAAGTTCTGATAGAATGGTCCGGCTAACAGGTATCTTGAGACTGACATAATTTGTTTTTAATCCAATTAGAACGATAAACATAGGTCTGATAGATGAAAACTAGTCCGAAAGTAGCTGAAAGGAGTTAAAAAAAAAAAAAAAAAAGATTACTTACAGAGGAAAGATTGGCTCCAAAACAATCAAAAGGGAATAGACAGATGAAGGAGAGCTATAGCACAGCGCGGATAAGGCATGTTATTTTGTTTGGTTATGTCTCTGAGCCAGCAGTCTGAAGACCTCCCATGTGCCCATGTGGGCAGAGACCTGATAATTAAGGGCATCCTTCTCATCGGTTCACTCGGTTTTCTCTTTCTTTTTAATTGCTTTCCACTGGCAGTTGAATTCTACAGGCACATAGTTTCTAAACAAAATTCCCAGCATTTTGTTTCTTTTTATTTTTTACCAGGAAAATTCTCTTTTTCCTCTTATTTAAGAAATACCTGTATACTCTGTTTTTGCATTTCCTTATTTTTATATCAAGAAGCAAGATTATACACCACATCGGCATACCAACTCATTCTTGTCATCTAAGACTAGACTGCAGAGAGACCAATGAGATTTAAGACCCACAGAAGGATCGGAGTGAAGGTGAAACGTTTTATTTTAAATTTGAATATCCATCCATCAATCAATTCATTCGTTCGTTCACATTTCACTCAAGATGAATAATTATAAATTAATCTCCTTAGTTTCTTCAAATAAATAAATTAATTCTCTTTATTTTAAAATTTAATCATTTTATACATTGGTAAGAAGGAAAAAAATGATATAAAACTAAATAATTAGTTTTGGTTGGCTTCCCAAAACTCTTATATATTAATATACTCCACTCAAGACTCAAGAGTCCCACCTTTCTGAAAATTAGTGTCAACTAACTTGCACAGTTGCACCATCGTCCCCCCCGCCATATTCACCACCCACAGCCACACCGATGCCAAAAGAAACGTCTAAACAAGAGAATTAACAGCCAAACAAACAATGTCGCCTCTCCAAAAACCACCACCGCCACCAGCAGCAGTTGCTAATGATCTCAAGCAACGTGTCATAACCTGTATCAACAAGCTCTCCGACCGTGACACTCTCTCCGTTGCCACCACAGAGCTCGAGTCTATAGCTAAAAACTTAACTACTCACGACTCTTTCTCACATTTCCTGAACTGCATTCACAACACCGATTCCTCCTCCAAATCTCCTGTCCGCAAACAATGCGTCTCTCTTCTAACTCTCCTCTCTCGCTCCCACGGCAACTCCCTCTCGCCCCACCTATCCAAAATGATCTCCACCATCACTCGCCGCCTCCGCGATCCCGACTCTGCCGTCCGCTCTGCCTGCGTCCAAGCCACCTCCGCCATGTCTTCTCAGATCACTGACCCCCCTTCTCAACTCTCTCCAAGCCTCTTATTGACTTGGTGACTGTTGACCAGGATTTTAACGCTCAGATCGGGGCGGCCTTGTGTTTGGCGGCGGCCATAGAGGCAGCGCCAGAGCCGGAGGTTGAGCAGTTGAGGAAGGTGCTGCCCAGGCTTGGGAAACTGGTTAAGGGAGAAGGGTTTAAAGCAAAGGCGGCATTGTTGAGTGTGATTGGGAGTATTGTTGGCGTTGGTGGGGCGTCAAGTAAGGGAATTTTGGATTGGTTAGTCCCGTGTTTGGTTGAGTTCTTGAGTAGTGAAGATTGGGCCGCCAGAAAATCTGCTGCTGAGGCCTTAGGGAAGGTGGCGTCAATGGAAAAGAAGTTGGCAAAGGAACATAAAGCTACCTGTTTGACTTCTCTAGAGACTAGGAGGTTTGACAAGGTATGGAGTAATTAACATTCTCTCTCTTTTTTCTTGGACTTGTTTGGTTGCTGAGAAAATGTGCAACAGAGTATAAGCTGTCTTAATAAATTGCAGTTTGAAATTTGAATATTGGTTAAAAAAAAAAATTAAATTGCTGGCAATAGATCAATGAGTGTTTGGTTTTGAAAGTTGTTTGGACTGATATGATTTGTGTATATATTTAAAAAAAAAAAAAAGGTGAAGGTGGTTAGGGAGACTATGAATCGTACGTTGGAGTTGTGGAAGGTGGTACCATGCATTTCAGAGGAAATTTCAGTTCCATCTCAATCTACATGTTCTTCTTTAGGTATCAGCTTCTTCTTCTTGTTTTCTTTTTTCTTTTCTCTTTATAATCTTATTTATTATTGGTTGAATTCAGAAGGGTTCAAATCATCAATTTATGTTTTTCCTGGATTTTGCTATGGCACCAGATAATGCTAATGGTATATGCATCTCCACTGCCTCCAAATATTCTAAAGACGTTTGCAAGACTCCTTTACCTAAGACGACAGTCCCCGCAAATAGGTCCCTTCCTTCTGATTCTTCATTTGACACAGCTGCCAAAAAACAAAGCCCCGCAAAGAGCAATGACAGCAATTCAAAGACAGGAATGTCTCATAAGCTGGGCCAAGATAGACAACACTCTGCAAAAATTGAAATCGCTACACCACAAGGAAAAGCTTGTGGTGATTATACAAGGCATGATTCTGGAGTTTTGGGATCAGGGCAGAATGAGGATGACACAAATTCTACGGCACAAACAAAACGTGTCCTCTTCAGTAGCATTCGAGATGACAAAAGGCACAAGTTTGGTGGTTTAAAATCTGGGTCACGTGTGGTTCCATTTCATGAGGATGAAAACTGTTACAACAAAGATGTTGAAGTTAGCATTTCTCCTGAAGATTTCTATGAGAACCACAAAGATTACGAGGATATGTCTTTGATCTGTGAACAACTTATTCAGATTGAAAACCAGCAATCCAGTCTTTTAAATCTTCTCCAGGTACAATATGAGAATTTTGATCTCTCTCTCTCTGTCTGTCTTTCCCCTCTTACTAATAAGTCATTCGTGGCAATTGTGAAGAAAGGCTTTCATTTCCTTAGTTTGCTTATAGTATGTCGTTGCTGCCTCTGTACTTTACTACTCTATTTGGAGTTTTGGACAATTTGCCTAGATGAGATAAAGCATACTTTCACTATATGTAAATTGTTATGATGTCTCCAATAAATGGTCACATTTGGAACAATCAACCCTTCCCCCTCACTGAATAGAGATTAACCCTTGCCGTGTGTCAACATTCCACCATCCATCTACTTTTTTATGCAGTCCTGCCTTGAACATCCAATTATTGCATACCCTATGGTTTACTAACGATTTCTTGGCAATATAGCGCTTTTGTGGAAATACTGGGGTGCTCAAATGTTGAAAAGTTATTTACTGACTTTAATCATCCCATCTTTTCTTGAATTTAGAGATTCATTGGGAGCTCCCAGAGTGGTATAAATTCTCTTGAAACACGGGTCCACGGCCTGGAGATGGCAGTTAATGAAATTTCATATGATTTGGCAATATCAAGTGGAAGGATTCCTAAAACTAACTCTGCAGAGAACGCATGTTGCAAGCTTCCTGGTGCAGAATTCTTGAGTTCCAAGTTCTGGAGGAGGACAGAATGTCGGCATTCTAGTTCAAGGTTCTCTTCTCCTGGGAGCATTCAGTCACTGAATTCGGTTTGCAATGTTCCTGTTAAGAATGTTGGCGTTGAAACATACAACCAAGGAAGCCAAAGATGTCAGCATCAGAACAGGGGTGGATTTCTTGTGAACACATTGGCAGATGTTTCCAGCGTAAATAGGCAGAATTCAGGATTCTATACAAGTCAGAAGGCAAATAACATACGTGGAGATGATCCTAAGCAGCAGGTGAAAAGATATCTGGTCTTACACTAGCTTTACTATATTCAATTTTTCTCTTTGCAAGGTCATGCTATTCTTTTTTTTCCCTCATTTTGAACATCAATCAAATAAATCCTCCAAGGTTGGTATCATGACCAAGTGTCGTGATGGCAAAGAACCAGATGTTGCAAAATCTTTATGTTAGTGAATATCTGAAGCGCTGCAATTGATTCCTAGCATTTTTGGCACTGTATGCATTCCCATTCCATATGATTTTTCCTCCCACTAAAATTTATCATTCTATTTATCAACCAAAATTCACTATTCATCATTATTGATGCTTGCATTGATACTTTTGCTTCATACTATCTTTATATCGTATCCTTGAAATTAGAATGGTTTCCTGTTGGTAAATATCTTGAATGTTCATCATATATTGTTTATATCTGGTGTAGAAGTGTATGCATTCCCATTTCATATGATTTTTCCTCCCACAAAAATTTATCATTCAATCTATCAACCAAAATTCATCATTCATCATTGTCCATGCTTTGCATTGACTGGTTCAGTTTAGCTTATCTGAATAAAAAAACTGGTGAAAGTTTTGCTTAAAGCCAGGTTTGTCGCAAACTCATACCAAGTCCATGTCCTGTCACCATATTATGTATCCCTCTAGTGCACAAAATAATTAGTATCTAAATATCACGGATCGTTACTGAGGTCCTTATTGCATGTATTTGAGGAGTTGATATCACCAACTTTTTCAATTGTTAGAATTTTACCTGTGGATCTAGTTTATTTATTTGCATGGTATGAACTAACAGGTATGGTTTTCTGGATACAAGTTTATTAGAGTCGGAAATTGCTAGGTGTAAAACCTGATCCTTTCCAGACCTACTTTCTAAATATCTGCATTTGTACCATCAGGTTTCCTCCTAAATCAAAACAAGAAATTTTTGTCAACAGCAAGGCAAGTGCCATAAAAACCTGAAGCTGACTTACTGGAAGAAAAAGCCAATAGCAGATCAAGTTGGGCTTGTGCATAAATGTGAAAATTTTGAATTTCTGCTGCCTTCTCGCTGATTATACTACAGATTTCTGGGAATAATATCCAAATTTCTCTATTTAGAGGTGGCATTTTCTTTTGAAACACACCACCTGAGCTAGTCTGCATATATGATTCTTATTTAACATGAGTTGCACCAGTTGCTGATGGAGAAGTTATATCTGTACAGAGATTAGTTTTTTCACGCTATGGCTGCTTTGTTTGGTGAATAAAGAATCTTTTTGTGAGATAAACCCTCCCTGTTCATTGAACCTTACTGTATCCTATGGAAGAAGTCATGCAAGGTAGAGCGGTTCATAGATTCATACTGCTGATTCGCCAATTGCCCCATGAGAATTACGGAAAGAAAGATACATATACCAAAAAATATCTATAGTTTTGCATTTTAGTCCTTTGATAATCTTCGCTTCGCACCACTTTTTATTTATTTATTTTTTAAATCAAACTAAAACCCTACTTTTGAGTAAATTTTAAATTAATCTCTTTGAAAAATGAATTAAATATCTTTTTTTTCAAAAAATAATTATTTAGTTTTTTCATCTATTTTATGGTTTTGTCTAATTTATTTTGTTTTTTATTTTAAAAAATATAAAAAAGAAAAGAAAAAAGAAATAGATAGTATGGAAAGATTGATGAAAAAATAATATATTTTTTGAAATGAAGTAATATTAAATTAAGTGTGGTCAATATTAGTCAAATGATTAAATAATTAATTTTTGAAATAAAAAAGATAAATTAATTTATTTTTTGAAACTAAAGGGACTGATTTATAATTTACTCCCTTAATTTCCTCTGCTGGCTTACATTGCTGTGATTTCTTATTTTAGCTTGTGAATGCTTTGGAGCTTAATTAAGGTCGTAAAATCAAGATATGTGATCTATCTATAAGAATATCAAAATTTAATTTTCGCTATTTAAGAATAATTATCTATAATTATCATTTAGTGATACTAGATCTAGATTAATTTAGCTTAAAAAACAGTTTAGTAATCGAATAAAGATTAGATGTGTTCTAACATTGATTTAATTTAGAAATTAATGAATTTTGTTTTGGTTAATGAAAAACTTGGGTTGAAACAAAAAATCAATTTAAAATTAACTCGTTTTAAGGACCATTGCAGCTCTTTCATGGCAAATGTGAACCGTGTTGAAACAAACATCTCGTTCTAAACTTGCATTGTTCGTGAAGAAACAATTAATTCACGCATTTTATACTAAAATTATATATTTTTTTAACAAATCTTATACAAGAATCTATGCAACTTATTTTGAGTACTTTGGTCAATGTGGGATAATTATATTTTGAGAACAACTGTTTTTATTTTATTTTAATAAACTAATAAATATTTCTATCAATTTTTTTTTTCATTTTCTGAGGATGTAGTAGTCGATTTTAACCAACACATTTGCACAGTAATGTTTATCATTTTCGGACGTTTAGTTTAGTTTAGTCTAGTGTTTTTTTTTTTTTTTTTCTGGGTAACGCAAAAAATTAGTTACTTTTTCTAGCTTTTTTTTTTTTTTTTTTTCGGTAGACGCATGAAAATTAAATGGACAATTCAAACTTGAAAATGAAATTTCAAGTGTATGTGTAGAGTTCAACAAAAATGATTTTAATGTAATTCAAAGACATCATAAAACCTATTATGTGTACTTTAATGTAATAACTAGTACTCACTAAAACTAAAATAAAATAAAAATTAAATATTTAAAAACATATGAGGGATATTTTGAAGGTATAAAATAGTTCCTAAAGACTTGAGAGAATATTCAAAGTAGATAAAATAATCATTTTATGCTCAATGAATATTTTATTGATTTTACAAGTACATGAATAGTGATTTTTGGGTGAAATAATTATTTTGAGCATCTTGTGGGTGCAAGGAAAATGTTTTCCTTGTTTAGAATATTTGTTAGAGAGTATTAAATTATTTTATATAATTGTGTGAATTTTATTATGTACTATGAATATTTTATTTGAATTTTGATGTATTAGAATAGTGTTTTTAGAGGTAAAGAATTTAATTAGGCATCTTAAGTGTATGAGGAATTTTTTTAAGAGCATAGAATAATCATATAGGACGTGTGAGAGTTCCTATAAAATTCAAATTAATTTTATTAAGTATAGGGAATATTTTTAATAGAAAATAGTGTAATTTTCACACTAAATAATTAATTTAGAGGCTCAAATGAGTTTCAAAAATTATGAAAATTTAAAATAAACTCCCTTATTAAATTTTTGAATTTATTATGCAAATAAATAGTATTTTTGAAGAGTATAGAATGGAATTTTAAAAATAGGGACTAAATTGTGTAAAATTAGGGACTCGATTGCATAAAATCAAAAGTCTAATAATCTAAATTAAATTATGTAGGAATGTTAAGGGTAACAAATTAGCTCTAAAAACTGAAAAGGGAGGATTATAAATGAGTTTTTGCATAAAAGAGGAATTTAGGAAAGAATGGACTATTGAAAAGTATGGAAACTTGGAGGACCAAAACTTGTCACTTTCCTCTCAAATTTGGCTAGATAGAGACAATTAATGAGGGTGACCTGCAGTAAAAATTATGGCAAAAAAATAAGCAAGATGAAAGGCTTAAACAAAAGAAGAACAAATAGCCAAAAATTTAGCCAAATAAAAAGAATTGATTGGAAATTTAATTAAGGGCCAAGATTTACCCAAATTAAGGGTAGAGATGAGGTCAACAAGTCTAAAAATTTTTCCTATAAATAGGGATGTTGGAAAAATTAAAAAGGAAAGGAAAATTGAAAAACACAAAGGAAAGTCTTCCACAATTTCCACTCAAAAACTACCTAAGATAATCTTAACCAATTTTAGACTCTCTAAATCAGTGGATTAAACTTTAATTTTCAGTTGGGAGCCGAATACCTTCAAGAAGAAAATTAAAAGAGCTAATTCAAATTAGGGGAAAAAAGGGAAGGAAGAGAATTTTCAAGCAACCTACCTTTTCAAGGTTAATTTGGAGCTTAATCATTCACCTACACCACAAGTATGCTTAATTTCAAGTCAATTTCATGTTTAATTGCTTGATTTAGATTTTATTACTTAATTAAGAAAAATTAGGGTTAGGGTTCTTGATGAACCAAATTTGAAGAAAATGGTTTTAAGCTTATAATTCATGTAATTGAGATAGAAATAGGTTGATTTACCTTGAAATTTAAGTTTAAAACTCAAAAATTTCTAGAATTATTCAAGGTATTCTATTTGGCCTAAACCTTCAATTTGGAGGTTTTTAATTCTTTCATTTAATTGATATTTTGGCACTTGATTCTGACTTATTTGAGCATGAATTAGTGTTTAGGAATGAAAAATTACACTTTAATCGAAGAAAAATTCACAAATTTCAAGGAATTATATTTGGCCTAAACTAAGTAAATTAGGGTTTGAGTTCAAAGCAATTTGATGAGTAGAAATGAAAAATTTTCTAAAAATTGAAGAAAATGGGTTATATGGGCTTGGGCTCAATTTTGGCCCATTAAGGCCCAATACGAGGTTTGGGAAGGAATTAGGGTTCTAAATTTTAATTAAATTGATTCTTATAGTGAGTACATATTTAGGTTGCTTATTATTAAAATGGTAGGAAAAAATGAGAAGAAAATCTTAGGAATTTAAATGGTGAAATATTTAGCCTAAATGAGAAATTTTGAGAATTAAGTTTAAATTAAGTTCTAAACCCTAAATTAGTTCATTCAAGTGAAAAGTAAGGTAAAGGGATGATTTAGAATAAAAGTGTTCATGAAAATCTAAATAAAATTTGATTTAGAAAAAATTAGACTTTAGGCCCATTAAGGCCCAAACTGAAATTGGATCACCTAATCAATGAAATAATACCTAATTAAGTTTGAAAATGGATTAGTACCTAATTTGGTAAAGGTTAGATGCAAAAAGGTAGTTAGCAACCTAAGGAAAATAATTTAGAAATGTTAAAATGTAGAGTAAGTTAATGAAACTAAAATGAAATATAA